GGGGGGCACCAGACCCAGTGGGTTTCTGCTGCACACCCTCCCAACTTGCCCTTACAAGGCAGATGCCAGCACGGACAGCTTGCCCTCAGACCTCCGCAGCTGCACGCACAGCTCTGCCCACAAAGCCCACACCCCACCCCATGCACCCAGCCATTTCTGGGCACTTCACCCAAAATGAGCCTGCCTCATCCTGTCCTGGCAGACATGTCATGCAGACTCGCTCGCCCAGTGCAAACGGAGCCCATGCAGGACTACCGTCAGGGTAGGAGGTAGCCTTCCCTCAGTTCGGACGACACACCTCTACCACTGCCCACTTCCTGCCAGCCAGCATCCTTACATGGGAACACCACCATCACCACACTTCCCTTATCTGGCAGCAGGTTTTCACGCCATCGTCTCAACCCTGCACCCTGGTCCTCCCACATAAAGGACAGTGGCCACCACCCCCATCCTTTAAGACCATATGTGGTGTCCGGATTGGAAACTTCTTCCCCTGCAGCTGGGTCCCTCCCAGCACCCTCAGATCACACACTTCACTGCAGCAGCCAAAAGCCTTGAGAGTCCTGAAACCCTTGGTGCAGTCCAAGCCTAGGTAGGTATCCCTGGCACGCACCTTCCCCCCTCCCATCATTAAGCCCCCTCCCGAAGCAGCACACACACCCTCACACTCCTGCCCCAGGATCCTTCCCACCCCAGCAGAGTCCAGGCTACCTGCCCAGCACCAAGTGTTTGACCAGGGACACCAGCCAGCAGGGAGGAAATCCCTGTGCTTCAGGAAAATGAACCATGCTTCAAAGAGTAAATTTCCACCTGTGGGAAAAAACATTTGGGTTTTTTCCTGTGGGTACTTGTCAGGAAACAGGTCCCGAAGGCTGGCTGTCCCCAAGATGCTCTACAGTCTGAAAGGCTGGGCAGAAACACCGTTATACAGAAGGAGGACAGGGGATGCAGTAAGAGCACAGCCTGGTTCAGTCAGGAGGCTGACGATGACCTGCAATACAAGAGGACACAGTGGCAAGCAGGTTATACTCTTAAGGGAGCAGAAATCAGCAAGAAAAGCCGGGCTGGTGAGGAAACAGCTGGCAAGGCCAAGGCACAAGAGGGGACACAGCAAGTGGGAGCAATGGGAGCACGAGGCTGCCTCATGCAGACCTCAGTGGGGAGCAGAAGGTCAGCAAAACTGGGCCATGGGCACTGTCAGCGAGTAACGCCAGCCTTTGTTGTCTAGGTCTGGTCTAGAAATTGCATATGGGTCATTCAGATGTTGATGGTTGTCCCTGAACAGCAAGGACACAGGACACAAAGAGAAAGTGAAAAAAGCACACATCTATGGCAGATGCAATTCCTTGATGACACATGAAGAGCACTGACAGCAGCAAATGCCCTTGTAGGGGTTTGGCTTGGCATCAGGGCTTTCTTCTCAGTGCAGGTGGAGGCAAGATCTGCCCCTGCCTGCAGCTGTGCGGGGCTACCCAAAATCCAGACTCCAATGGCCTCCTTCAGTGCTCCAGACACCAGCGCATGGTAGAGGATAACATTCAGAACCTCAGTTTGGTGCCCCACACCTCTTCTGCAGACACAGATCCAAGAAATCCTCCCCAGCCGCTCAGACCCAACGCCTGTACCAAGCCCATCACAGCCCTCTCTAGCTGGCAAGGGGAGGAGAGCCGTGGCTATCGACAGGGCTCCTCAGGGATGGGCTGTGGGGAATGGGAGAGAGGGGCAGGAGCTGCTGCTGAGTTGAGGGGAACAAGCTCCATCCTGCCCTGGATAGCTGAGGGCTGCCCATTGCTGGAATGGCAGCATCCCTGCAGCCCACTTCTGCTCCCATTTCCCTGCACAGAGAATGACTCACACCTCAAGCCCCCTAGCCCCTGGTGCAAAGAGCAGCCGCTTCTGCTGTGCCCCATCGGGACCTCAACAGGTACAAGGCCAGCAGAGACCGAGGAGGTGCCCCTAGCCCTCCCAGCATGGAAAAAGAACAGAACAACACTGTTAAAGAACAATCCCACCAAACTACAGCTCCCCCAACCGTGGGGACGACTGGAAAGAGCAGGCATCCCAGCTAATACAGGGATTCATCCCACAGCTCCCCACGTCTTTGCTGAACACCACCACCACCTTCCCCTGTGATAGGGATGCTACCCAGATTGCTCCAGAAAGGCCAGCACTTCTCTGATTGCCCCAGTTTCGTCTGTCCACGACGCAACAAGAACCAGCCACCTCCTGCTCCAAGGGACGCTGCCCGCTCCCCAGAGGGACACTGCAGCTCCTGAGCTCATGGAGGCTTTCCCAGCACACTGAGGCTTGCTGCCTTCCATCCCCAAACAGAGCTTCACCCCACCACAACCCAACGGGTGCCCAAGTGTCTCAGGACAGATGCAGACCTCCCCAACACAGCCACTGTGGGCTGAACAGGGTAAAGCCATGTGGCAAATATGCGGGTAGAGAAGCAGCAAAACCTTTTCTGTAAGAGAGAGGCACAACCCGCTCTTACCTGCTTCCTTGCCTTCCCCCTGGTCATTGGGAGCAGGGTCCTTCTGTCTCCATGCTAGAAGCAGAGGGACGAGGACCAGTAGAAAGGCCAGAGCCAGCCCTCGCAGAGCCATGCTGGCATGAAGTCCCCGGGCAGGACTCAGTCTGAGCCGCTGGGCAAAGGGATCTGGGTAACCCAGCACACGAGAGGTGCAGACACAGAAATGAAACAGACACATAGGGAAATCACACTGTGGTGCAAAAAGCTTCCTCTTTGGAAAGAGAGCATCCCACTGGCCACAGGGCTGCTCCTCACCCACCTGCCTGCAAGCAGCAGGCACAGGCTTGATGGGGTCTCCTGGGTGCTCCAATCCAGCCTTTTCACCGGCTATCTCAGGCCCCCATAGCCCTGCTCCCACAGACACCTCCAAAACCTTCTCAGGTCTGCCTCACTCCTCTCTCCCTCCAGACTCAGTGGTGGACGTTGAGGAAAACACCCCTGGTTCACCTGCCCAAGACCACCCCAGGGTGCTCTCATCATGCATCACTTTTGCCTTGAAATCTCTCTACCTATTACCTTGAACTGACCCAGCTGCAACAATCTGGCTGTTGAGCCCCACCAACAGACCTTCCAGAGCTGACAAGCTCCTGAACCAGCCAGATGATGCTCCTTTCTTTTCTCCTCCAAACCTTCTGCTACCTTCCTCTGAGCTCCACTTTCTCAGTGCCTTCCAGGATGCAAAGTGCATTGACATGACAGTGCATGCAGTACTGTGGGTAAGAGGATGTAAGCTGGATGGAGAAGTAAGCTGGATGGAGAAGACCTATTCGTGTCCCCAGCCAGGCCAGGCAGGATCTTTGGGTATGGGAGGGAATTCCCCTGGGCTCTCCTCATTTTGGGCCATAACCACAAGGCTGGCTCACTCACACTCCCCCAGTCTCCTGTGCCTGAAGACGCCACCACCAAGCTCTTCTCTGAGCCCCTTTCCAGCTCACACACTCTTGCATGGCCTCAGGCTTCCGTGAGTCCTGGCTCCCTGTGCTGTTGCAGCTCTCCTGGGCAGCCCCTCTTTCAATTCCGTAGTTTATATGGCCCAGCTCTCTGCTTCCCTGGACAGAGGAGCGTGATTGCACTGTGGTCCAACACAAGCAGTGTCCTGGGAATGGGTGCTGTCACCCAGGGCACTCTTCACGACTTGGCTGGGACCGGTTGGCCCAGAGCTCCATGGCAAATCCTTTCCCAGGAACCACCATCCCCAGCACTGCAGGACAGCGCTTGGCGTATCTATCTGCATTACCCCAGTGAAGCAGCAACACTGAGGGGTTTCTGGAAGCTAAGTCTCTCCTAAGATCCATTCAGGAACATCAGTACATTGAGTCCAGCTGTCTCACATACAGTCATTGTAAGATTAATGGCAGGGTTAGGTTAACGGTTGGACTTGATGATCCAAAAGGTCTTTTCCAACCTAAACGATTCTATGATTCTATGATTCTAAAGTCTTCCAGCAAGCTTGCAGCAAGATGAGCAGAAACACTAAGTCATGTCCTCCCTGTTTCTTTGGCGGTTCCTTGGGCTTTGGGAACCAGGCTTTTTTTTGTCACTGTGCAGTCAGCAAAGGTGCAAGCACCCAGGAGAATGGCCTCAGCCAGCACTCACTAAGTAACATCCTCATCAAGTCCCAGCGCAAGATCTAGACACTCTTACTGCCTCTCTGCCATATGAAAGAAGCAAAAACAGTGAAAGAAGACAGACTTCAAAAATGCACATGTGGTGCAAGAGGCTTCCTGTTGCAGCTGATGTGAGGATTTCTTTTCTTTTCACCTATCCTGAAACACTCCGGGGCCTAGCAATCTGTGTTTGGCCTCTTCCTCCTTAGAAATTTATCATTTTTTGAGAGTTGTTGTCTTGGTGTATAGCATGCACTAGAAAAATGCTGAAGAAATGCCGAAAGCCAGCACGCTTGGTCATACGCCTAGCTCGTACACAACCTAACATCAGAGCTGCTAGGTCAGCTGGTGATGCCTTACTTCACTGGGAACCCACACAGCGGAGTTCACACGAGAGAAGGTTTCCAAGGGACTGTCAAGTCACGCAGCAGCTCATGAGTCCAGTCTCGGCATGGTGTCATCCACAGGAGGCGATGGGCTGCAGCTCCGTGAGACCACTCACTGTGCTTCCAAGAGCACAGCCAGCCACATACCTTCCTCTCCACGGGGCCAAGGCCCCAGGGCAGTTGATTTAATCATCGTAAACATGACTGATGGGCTGTTTCCTGAAGGTTGGGTTTCATCGTCAATGAACTAACAGGACTCAGACCTTCAGACTGACGAGACAAAAACCCAAACCACCTACAATTCACAATCAGTTTTACTTCTAATAGGGAAGAACATTGAGGGCTCAAAGCCGTCCACAAAACCACAAGGAAAGGAGAAGTAGCTGTGGCTTTTGAGCGCCAGGCCTTGTGGAAAGCACTGCTAACATATCCACCACATTCCCCTACAGCAAACTCTATTCCTTTGTCGGACCCTATAAAAAACAAAAATAATTATCAGAGATGGCCATGGTGATGGCAGTGGGCTGAGGCCAGGCTGGGACGTCATGGCGCAGGCAGTGGGTCAGGATCAGGCCCAGGAGGGGAACCCAGTCAGATCCAGCCCCAGGATGGCCAGGCAGGGGTCTGCTCCCTGCACAGCAACAGCACATGGCCCCATGTGAACAGGGGCCTGGTCCCCACATGTGGCTGCTTCCTCTCCAGGATGCGGCATCTGCCTTAGCCCTCCAGCAACCTTCCCAAACCCACCAGCCCTGCACCCTCTTCCACGCAGGGACCTTGCAGTGCTGTCAGGGGGACAAATGCCAGTGCACCATCCCACTCTGAACTTAGGAACCCTCCAGCCCCTTCCCCAAGGTGATGATAAAACCCAGATGTCCTCTCCCCCAGAGCTGGGGGAAGAACCCCAGGCCAATGGGCAGAAGGAGGGTAAGGGAAGCACCAGTAGTGCTGGGGTGCAGAAGCATCCCCCCAGGGTGACAGCCTCGCCATGATGGGTTACCACAGCCTGCCTTGGGCCCTGCAAAACATCTGAGAGGTCTGCAGGGAGCTGTGCTGGCCTGGGAGAGGGGTGGCATTGGGGCATCTTTGCTGTCACCCAGCTGGCAGCAGCAGCCAGGGCAGGGACTCCCTCTTGTGGCAGTGGCCACCCAGGGCTGCAACCTCTGCTCCCGGGGTGGCCTATGGTCTGCCACCCAGGACAGGCGGGCTGAGAGCGGAGATGTGATGGGGGACAGCCCGGCCGGGTGCGGGGGTCCCACTCCTGGGTGCTGGGCAGAGCTGTGGCAGGCGCTGGGGGTCGATAACCATCCCTCCATCCCCTCTGCTCTGACTGCTACAGCTACCTCGTTCCAGGGGGAGGGAGGAGGACCTGCTGCATTCTTCATCCCCCTGCAGCGCCAGCCAGCCCACAGCCCCCAGCCAGCCCACGGCCCCCCAGCCAGTCTGCCCGGCCCACCGGGCCTCGTGCTGCAGCCCATATCTCCCTCAAATACACCCCCCACTCCCCTTCGCTCTCAGACTGCAGCCCTCTCCCCTCTCGTGTCTGGCTGCACACTTGCTGACCGCCCAGAAAGATATTTTTAGAGCACAAAATTGGACATAAGCAGTTTGCAGCTGGGAGCAGGGTGGAGGAAGGCTGGAGGGGCGTGGGGTGCCTGCGTTTTGGTTTGAGGAAGATGCGCTCAGAAACGGGGTTTCCAGCTCTGTCCTCTGAGCAGTTCCACATCTGCTCCAGCCATTCCTGCCCCCATCCCCAGGGCCATCTTCAGCACATCCCACCCTGGTTCTTGGACAGGGAACCTGGCTCAGCCCAGGGGGTGGGAATTGTAAGGCAGCATCTCAGGCCAGGCAAGCTTCCCCCCAAACCCTCCTGCCTGAAGGTGCCACTTTCAGGGCAGGCTCTCTGAACCAGGGCATCGCACTGCTTCTGACCTGCTCTTTCTGCTGCCGTGTTTCACCCCGCTGGCAGGGCTTTGTGCCTGCGGTCTCTCCCTCTGCCCGAGTGGAGCAGCTCTCTATCGCCTGGACAAACCCTTCGCCCTGCACCTCCCTCGCTGCACAAGCCTCTCGACATTGCTCCCGTTCAAACGCTCCACCCAACCCCATGTGCTGGCCCCACAAGCCACAGCTCTCTTTTTCGCAGGCAACTGACAGAGTGCTTGTGTTTGGTGGAGTCACGAGTCTCTCCTTCCATACGTGGGTCTTAAATAAAGGGCTTGGCATTTCCCCTTTTCAGTTGTCAGCCTGCACAGCTTCCAGAGGAAAGCAAATCCTGAGGAACCGCCTATGCCACCCAGGGTAGCTGGGAACAGAGAAGTGCCCAAAATATCCTGAGCCCGGAAAGAACCAGATGAATAGGGAAGAAAAAGCCAAGTAGCTGTTTCCCCAGTGAACTGGAGCCAGTGACCCGGCAGAGGGAGGAAGGTGGCACAGCCAGTGGCGTTAGATGATCTTCTGGGGGCTGCACAGCCCCGTCATCATGCCTGGTGCTGCGCCAACAATGCCTTGGAGGAGGCATGGCCGCTGCCAGGGGGACCCTGATCTGGCATGGCTCCCACCCAGCCTGTCCCAGGATGTCTGCCCGTGCCCTGGCCGTGCGGTTGCCGTCAGCAGAGTGCTGTGCCTGCCGGGGTGGCTTCCCTCACACGTGGGGCAGCGGAAAGCCAAAGTCTGGGCTGGGCCCCTGCTCGCCCCCATCCCCAGTGTGTGGCCCTGAAGAACCCCCCGGGAGCTTGCTGAGCCTACTGCTGGGCCTGCCTTCAGCCTCTGACCAAGGCTTGGTGTGGCGTGGTTCCGTTCCCCACAAAGGCTGGGCAGGTGGAGCAGGAGGAGGGAGGCGGGCACTGCGTCCTGGAAAGCCAGGGAGAGTGGTGGGGATGGCACGGTGCCCAGAGCCCAGGGAGCAGCTGCCCTTTTATTGTATAAATACGTGCATAAAGTCACGTGCATCGCCAGCCCAGGATGAAGCCAAGGGGAAGACCCTGAGCAGACCTACAGCAGCACCGCTTGATGACCTGGGGGCAAAGGGAAGGTCCCATCTCACGCAACAACCTCCCGTGGGGAACCCCCACTCACCCTGG